TCTTTTCTGATCATTGCTTGGTATCAACTTATTTTGGTCCGCAGAGACACCGATGTGTTTGTCAACAGTGGGACTTCTGGAAGTTAAACCTGAAACTTCTAAGCGATGATTCTTTCTCAAAAAAGATTCCCATAGTTTTGTCGGACATACAAAAAAACGTTGGCATGCATATATTTGCTAAATGGGATTTCTTTAAACAGGAGGTGAAAAACCACGCAATCGAGCGTTCCACGATCTTATCCTACATCAACAAACAGGAACAACGTGAACTCTTTAAGAATTTAACGACTCTATACGAACTAGAATGCCTTAACCCAGGTGTATATAGTGACGATGTCAATGTGGTTCGAGCTCAACTACAAAAATATGAAACAGAAAGGTATCGAGGGGCCATAATTCGCTCTCGAAAGAAACGTTTCTTCCTTGGTGAACAACCTACAAAGAGGTCTCTGGACGACGAAAGGCGATATGCTCTGTCAAAAGAAATCGTAGAGATAAATAGCAATGGGTCAATGCACACCGACACAGCGGACATTGTGAAATCATTCCACCAATTTTACACAAATATTTTTGGAAAATTGATACCTACAAAAGAGAAGGCTGAAGTTGAACAGCTGTTATCGCATATGCCGATACTAGACGAGACAGACCGGAAGTTAATCGACGGTCCTATAACCTTGGATGAAATCAAAGCCGCCATCAAATCCCTCCCTAATGGTAAAACGCCTGGGCCTGATGGACTAAGTGGAGGATTTTATAAAAAATACGTAGACATTATTTCTCCTGTTCTACTCGCCGTATTTCAGGAAGCCTATGTCCAGCGAGCGCTTCCGCCTTCCTTTTACCGTGGACACACGGTACTAATACCAAAAACGAAAAACTTGGAAATGTTGAAAAACATGGAAAATTATAGACCTATTTCCCTCTGCAACGTTGACTATAAAATTTATGCAAAAGTTCTCAATGAAAGGCTACAAAGTGTAATCGAAAAGCTAGTAGGTGAACACCAAACCTGCGGGATACGTGGCAGAGCTATTCAAACGAATGCACATGTTGCCCGTTCAGTACTGGAGTGTGCGTCTGACAACAGTGACCAGGTTGCATTTGTACAGATAGATCTCACAAAGGCTTTTGACCGCGTGAGTCACTCATCTTTATTTGCGTTGCTTAAGCATGTCAACGTGGGGGCGACACTCTTTGATGGAATCCAGCTATGCTATTTCAATTGTTCTACAAGGCTCATCGTAAATGGTATGCTATCTGACGAGATTAAAATACAATCTTCCGTTAGGCAGGGCTGCCCGCTATCCCCGCTTCTTTTCGCCCTGTACTTAGAGCCGTTGTGCCTTAGCGTCCTTAGGAGCGACGATGTTCAAGGATACTCGCTGGCCAATGTTAAGGTTAAAGTCCTCGCCTACGCAGACGATGTTGCATTTTTCTGTTCGGACAAGAGAAGCGTTGAGAAGGCACTTGATCTCACAGCGCATTATTGCGCGGTAACAGGAGCCTCAGTAAACCCATCGAAATGCAACGGTTACTGGTATGGTTCCTGGGCCACGAAACCCCGTTTTTTTGCTGGGATAGCGTGGAACAGGAGTCCCCTTACCTATCTCGGAGTACCGCTCGCACAAATTCGTAGTAGCGTAACCTACTGGTCTTCCCTGGCAACCACATTGAAAAGAAAAACAGACGCGTGGAAAGGAAGAGACATTTCAATTTTCGCTAGAGCCAGCGTTTGTAATATATTTCTGGCTTCAAAACTTATGTACGTGCTCCAGGTACTTCATTGCTCTCGAACCAACATCCAAAAAATTCATCGAATATTTGCTACGTTTATATGGTGTTCAACTTGGGAACCCATAAAAAGGGATAACCTTTTCCTTCCCCTTGAATATGGCGGTTTAGGATTGTGCCATGTATTTGTCCGTCAGTTGGTCTCCCGATTTTTTTTTTTAAGAATGCCAATCACGATTTCCTCAGAGTAATGCTCCAACGACGTCTTGCTGAGAGTTTAAATTATCTGGTTGTTTCAAGTGGCGAAATTTACCAAGGTAGGCCCTGGGGCTTTCTAAAGGAGGTGGTAGACACATTTAGCTTTCTCAAAGCGAGGTTTTCACTGGAATATCTGTTCAGTGTGTCCAGAAAGGAATTGTCAAGAAGCATTACCGAAAGCCTGTTTTCTCTTCCACTTTATCGTACCCGCTTCACGCTGGAACCCATCAGTGACGTATTTAAAAGAGTAAAGAAAATGGGAGTGCCTCCGTCAACCAAGACGTTTTTCTTTAAACTCCATACGTCCACTTTGCCCGTAAAAACTTATCTCCAAAAAAGGGGAATATTTGTTCCCTGGACAGTTAATTGTAGATTATGTAATAAGCCAGAGACGATAGAGCACTGTTTTATATACTGCAATGACGCGTTTTTATTTTGGGACGTGCTACAACGCACGCTAAAAAAAGACTTAGTCCTCAACGATTACAGCCTTCGCTTCCTACCGTTTTCAGAAAACGAGACCGTCCCGTATGACATGTTCGCGCTTCTGGGATTACATAGTCTCTGGAAGTGTCGTATGATAGATAGGCATGCGGAGAAACCACGCACGACGAAATCGCTTTTTTTACAACAAGTGGCGCAAGTCAGAAGTATCTATGCCTCAAAACTAAGCCAACCTGACTGGTTCCCCATGTTTGATGCATGCCTTGGGCTTCCGGATTTTTGATAAAAATGTACCTTGCGCGTGAGTGACTTTCGCTCAAATGTCTCAACTACAAGTTTTTGTAATTTTCTCTAAGGTATTTCTAATGGCCGCATGTTCAAGATGCCAAATGAGAAAAAAGGAAACGTGTGATAGTTGTTTGTAAATAGGTTGCTTTTAGCGCATGTTTGACTGTACATACAGGTATGACTGATCGTGTGATGTGGTATTTGTAAAACAAGTAATAAAGAAATAAAAAAAAAAAAAAAAAAAAACGGTGTCATGGCATAGGGGTCAGGGTGTCTGCTTCACACGCAAGTGGACGCGGGTTCGATCCGCGGTGCGCCTTTTTTTTTTTTTTTTTTTTTCTCAAACATTTTGTTTTGTGAGGCATTTGGCGATATTTACGACATTTCCTTTTTTGCGATGAACAGTAAAAAAAAAAAAAAAAAAAAAAATCGAATGTTGTCGAGAAACTTCGCAGAACTAAATGGTATCGGACTCCCTTCCGGAGGTGCGATCGGGGACAGCGGGGCTTGGATTGCCGGCTGGACGCCGCGAAGCTGCGTGTACTGGTTACGCTTTGTACTTAGCAGCCGATACTGTCGCCGCGAAGCGGCGTGAACGCAGGCGGGGGGCTGTGTTAACGAGCGCCCCAGTGATTCACGCGCCGTTCGAAAAGGGTGGCCCGAGCGGCATGATCTCTCGGAGGAGTGCGTATAGCCATTTCCGCGCGAAGCGCACTCCGGAGTGCGTATAGCTTTACTCATACTTAAAACCTTTCCGAGGAGTTCGGGGTGCTGTTTCGGGGCAAAGATCGCTACCGTTAAGCTCTTATTGGCTGATTAAAAAAAAATAGGGGGTAGCAGGGACGTAGCCCGGAAAAGGGGGGGGGGGGGGAGCGTATGGGGCTTCAACCCCCCCCCCCCCCCCCCCCCCCCCCCATAATGCACTTTGAACACCCCCCTCTACCCCTCTCCGCACCCTAAGTTAATCTGCACTCCTCGCGTCACGTTGAATTCCCCACAGACCCCTTCCAAAAGTCACGAGCCGACTGAAGGATAATCTGATGCAGAATGGTGGAACAACCGACACAGCGGAACGTGCCAGTATGGCCAGTAGCGCGAACGGGTAGCTTCCACCTGTGCTCCCGCTGCACGAGGGCTCGTGCGGCCGGGGCGCAATCGTACGCGAGAAGCTCGCACTTGTGTCCATCATTGTGCAGAGATTCTACAGTTTCCGATAGAGGACACACTTTCGAAAGGGGTCTATACAAACCAAACTGTGGCTTCTGAAGATAAATTGTTCTTATATGCCCAGTGATCTTCACTATTGTATACACTGCGATATTGACATACACGCTGTCGCGGGGCTACCTTGTGTCGGCGGGGGTGGGGAGATATCGCGCGCGGCGGGAGAGAGTACCATTGCAACAAGCACGAGAGCGCGGCTTTGAAACATTCTTCCGCAGAACGAGCGCGCGTGCTAGAAAGGCACGTCTGAAAGCCGGGAGTGCGGGCTAGCTCGCGCTTGTATCTTTGGCTGCAGATCCACTGCCGTTCTGACCGTCCACTCGCTGCCTGCCAGCTCATATCGCTATCCGCTGTACGTACTACATCCAATAAAAAAAGCTGTGAAATTCACGTCATTCCGTGAGACGCAACCATTTCCCTTATGCAACGAGTTATACCGGTACATTTCATTTTGCAACTTACATGCTTACCGGTTTTTTGTTTTTTTTTAATATTATTATCGCTATTTTCGGTTGTTTTTCTCAAGCTATCTGCCCCCAATGTGAGAATGCACTGCTTGTGGCGAAATAACTGATGCTATTAATATTTACGCAAACAGTAAAACGCACCCCACACCCACCTGCCTTGGCAGTTCGTAAACGCACAAATCGATCGTCAGCTGTTTCGTTTTCATTTACGTCTTAAACATAGCCTTGAAGGCGTTCGCCATTTGTTTAGTCGGGGTTCGTTACGAACGCTCTAGCTTGCCAAGATGCAAGTATTTTCGTGACATCTCTGGAGGGGTGACAACAAACTGGCAAAGAAAGCACAGATTATGCGTAATCGTAAACAGACAGAGGACATTTGTAGGTGCACAAAACCCGGGGTAACATTTGAGAGCACCATTAGCAGCAAACTCACGACTCGGTTGTCTGCTACGCTATCCCGATCGTCTGCTATCCGCTAGGCCTAACCAGCGCGAAGCCGCCGCGTCCGTTCCGCCGCGTTGTTTTCCCGACCGGCAGTGCCACATTGGTCGCGTCGCGCGCGGGCAGGACACAACTTTGACTCACCGGGCCTCTGGACGATGCTCCAGTGGTACGGGTTGCAGCAAACGCTGAGCGGCGACGCCCCGCACCAGGGCATACGTCTAAGTTCCCAGTGGTGGCGGAGCTGGGGCCAGCGCCAGAGCCGGCAGCAGAGCACGTGCGGCGCCTCGGAGGCGTCGGCGACGGCCAGCGGCACGCAGGCTCTGCCGCTGCGGCCTCGGCTCCGCACGGCGAGCAGCATGAGCTCGAGCTGGGGCTCGCGCATCCGCTTGAGCGTGGCCTCGACGGCCTTGCGGTGGGCGCACTCCTCCAGCGCACAGACGGCTTCATACTCGTCGCAGCCCACCAGCCTGGCTCGCTCTTCCCAGAGGCGTTTCACCAATTTGCACCGCTTACTGGTGAACATGAAAGTGCACCATAGCGCCCACTGGTCCGAGCTCGCCGTGGCATACAAGCACAGCCCGACGGCGCTCCGCTGCTCCTGGTCTCGCAGCCGAGGCGACCAGCCCTCACGGCCGGCACAGGGGCGGCCGCCGCCGCACGCCGGTGGCGGCTGCTTGGCCGAGCGGCTCGACGGCAAGGGCCCGGCCCCGGGCCAGCAGCGCATCCATGGGCCCGGGGCACGGCGGGCTCGCAGCGCACATGCACCGACACGCGACACGCCAGCAGCCGACGGGATCACCGTAGCACGAACGGACGAAGACACGACGGCGGACGCAGGCAGCAGCCTAAACTCGCCGACGGCACTCCTGAGCGGCCATTTGTCGACGGCGCGCCCTCCCACGGCGGGTAAGCAGCAGCCGGGCCTTTCGCTGCATGCCAGCACCAAAGCACTGTGGAGCGCCTCTCCGCCCGCTCGCCTGCCCCGCCGCTCCTCCTCGCCGCCCGAGCCGACGCGCGCGCCCTCTCCGTCCCTGACGGCCGGACCTGGAAGTGGTGCCGAGGTCAAAGTACCGTTTTCCTCTCCCGTCGTCTGCAACCGGCGCCTCGTCGCCATGGGGCCGTGGCTCCGCGTTTTGGCCCTTTTGGGTTTCGCCGCCTTTATTTACGCCAACTTTCTCGGGCGAGCTACGCGAGGTAAACAACGAAAAACGCGCGAGCTCTTTCCATACGCCCCAAATCGTGGAAGCTCGGACGCTCCTGCAAAGTGAGAAGGGAACGCAACGAAGGCTGAGCATAGTTTATTGATGCAGCCCCCTCGGCGGCCCCCAGCCTGCGAGGAGCCGACGCGGCGGCCTAGGTATCTCTCCCCCAACACATCCGGTTTCCGACTGGCGCTGCTCTGTCGGAAGAGGACCTCTTCCACGCTGCTCCCTCGCTACACTCGCCGCCGCCGTGAGAGTCCCACGTGCCCGTCTAGACAGGACGGCGCGCCTCCTCCTTCTGTCTGCGCGAGATAGTTGCGCAAATAACCGATCAAATTACCTTCGTCAGATATTACCGACCGCGGCGCCCCGTATCGGAGGAAAGCCACAGACGGTTCCTACACCATGACGCCATGACTTTTGCGCACCGGCAATCACAGAGGCCGCTTCTGCACGTACGCCTGCTGCTGGCACCAGAACGTCACCTGAACATAACGCTCCGCGATTTACCGTGTCTTGCTCATTCCAACCTTCTCGCAGTCGCAGATAATTTATGAACGATTGCCTCGCTAGCAATCGAAATGCCATGGGCTGCCAGCCTGGCTGCCAGTTGGAGAACAAAACTCGCAGGGCAAAAAGTGCTCGGGAGGTCTTTTCCGGGTGAAAGTCAAAAACCCGAAGGCTTGGGCGTACCAACCGGGGGGGGGGGGGGGGGGGGGGAAGCAAGGGGATCGCTTGCCCACGCTGCCTCCCCCCCCCCCCCCCCCCACCCCCCGCAGTTCTCAGAGTAGGGGGGGGCATACGTTTTGCCCCTCCTGAAACAGCCACCACTGGGCAGGGCAAACACTGGCCGGCGGCCCCCAATGGATACCAAGGGCATGTCCCCGGCCCTGGGTGTGTGTGTGTGTGTGGCCGGGGGGGAGGGGGGTTCTGGCTTGCGTCCTCTCCCCCCCCCCCCCCCCCCCGGGCCGGATTCTAAACTAAGTAGCTGTGTTTTGAAGCGATCTGAGTACTTGTCCTTCGTTTTTTATAGTATTATTTTGAGTTTTCACTGTCTCAAAAACAGGTTGGTACGCCACTGCCCGCAGGCGAGTAACTCCACAGTGAAAACTCAAAATAATACTATAAAAAAAGAAGAACAAGTACACACATCGCTTCGAAACACAGCTACTTAGTTTAGAATCTCACATTTGTTTTGAGACAGTGTGTGTGCTTGTTCGTCTCATTATTATCGCCTGTCTCGGGTTTTTTTATTGTGGAGTTTTTCAGATGCCCAGTCTGAAGCAACGACCAGCACGCGGTCGTTGCTTCTCGTCGTGCGTGCCTGCGCGTGCGTGCTCGAAGCTCACTAGACGCTGGAGTATTATCGAAGGTTGGAAAGAACTACAGTTGGGGAAGCTCGCGCTGGAGGCGGGACAACTGAGGGTCGCACTGCCATTCTTATTATGTCATTGACTACGTACGTTGCAATGTAAAATCTGCAGGACAATCTCTGCCTCCAGCCTTCCATCGTGCTTTGGCTGCGCGTGCTCACGAAACGCCGATCTGTTATCGAGGGCAGACTGCTCGCGCTGGGGATTGCGCATTCCAGTCTCCAGGTCGTATGTGTTGTAACACACGTGGGCGGCACAAAAACGGGTAGCATTCGTCTTAGTCAACGACGTTTCTTCGAAGTTGCATCCATAACGTTTTGCTGAACGACGTTTTAGCTTATGGCGGTAATAATTTCAGTTCGAAATGGCAAAAAAAAAAAAAAAAAAAAAAAAACATCCGACTAAATAAAGAAACATATAGGTGGGTGCTGTTTTTCAGCTGAAAATCTATCTATTATTGTCCTACCTCGTTAGAGCAAGGTGACAGGACACTTTATTATTATTAGTGCATCGTATTTTAATCGAACAACGCGGCTCGAGCTACGGTGGTGCCACGTGGTGTTAAAAGCGCGCGGCGAGTGACGACTCATGCTGAAACTTATAATAAATAAATATTATAATCCGACCAACCATTCCGTTTCTTTGTGAAAGTGTTTTCTTTTTTTTTTATTGAGTATCACGGTAAAAAAAGAAAAAAGAAACAAAGTTTCAAAAACCTGAAAAACAGCAGCGAACAACTCAAGCGCGGGTTTACGAAGACGACCACGGAAGACAGTGCGTAATGGATTGAGTGGGAGGATGGAAGCAGGTTTGCTTTGCGCTGAGCCTTGCATGGGCTTCACGCATTCAAATGCAAATCGAACAACAGCGCTCAGTTTTCCACTCCTTTTGAGAATTCGGTGCTAAAACTCCGCCAGGCAACGGCGGAGTAAGTCTGACACAAGCAGGCTTATACAAACGAGCCGACGATGTGCACACAGCTTCGGACAGGCGGCCGTGGATTTAACCTGCAGCGATTGGCCAGGCAAGTTCGTTCCTGCCTTTGGCCTACGAAATGTGCAGAAATAAGGGCATTTTTGTTTTGCTTTTTTTATTGTTGTAATTTTTGTTCGAGTAGAACTCTTGAAATGAGGCGAATTTCTGGAGAAAAAACTATACAATTCATTCCATGGTGTCAGTTCCAGCGCAAACTTCTCACCCGTCCAAAATTATTTGCAGGGTTCCTTTAATATAGCAAGGGTCAGTGACCCGCAAGGGATTTCTAGTAGCGGCCCCCGGCACGCTACCAGAAAAGCACTCCCCCCATCCTTTCACGCACACGAACACGCGTACACACGCACACACACACACGCACGCAGAAACACACGCGCGCGCACGTACGCACACACACACACGCACGCACGCACGTACGCACACACACACGCACGCGCGCGTATACACACGCGCACGTACGCACACACACGCACGCACGCACGTACGCACACACACACGCACGCGCGCGTATACACGCGCGCACGTACGCACACACACACACGCACGCACGCACGTACGCACACACACACGCACGCGCGCGTATACACGCGCGGACGTACGCACACACACACACGCACGCACGCACGTACGCACACACACACGCACGCGCGCGTATACACGCGCGCACGTACGCACACACACACACGCACGCACGCACGTACGCACGCACACACACACGCACGCACGCACGTACGCACACACACACGCACGCGCGCGTACGCACACACATACACACACGCACGTACGCACGCGCGCGCACACACACACACACACAAACGCACGCACGCACGCACGCGCGCGCTCCAGGACGAATGGCACAAGAATTATTGTTGGTTGCAAGCCCGGTATAATCGGACGCATTTAAGGGTGAACTCGATGCAGCGAATTATGGGACGAATAACTGGCGAACTTTGGCCGACGGCACGCTCGCTTTGTGCGCGACGCAGCAGCCACTGTGCATGATGCCACGCTCAAAGCGGAAGCCGCCGGGCAAAATTCGTCGATTTTTAGCAGCATATTTGCCCCATGGTGTCCAACCTTTGAGCGGCCTACTAGAAGATCAGTTTATTACTCATTAGCAATTGTTGTGCACCACAGTCATGCATTAGAAATCGATGGTTAAATCGTCGTACTTGGCATCTTTTCGTTCGGAGTCGCGGTTCATCATGTCAATTTCAAGTCTTTGTCGAACTCAGGGGCTCGCTATGAGGATTCTAATCGAGCGACTGGTCAGAAGCTCACTTCGCGTTTTATTTGTTATTTTTTTTAGCTAATTGTTTTTTATGCGCCCCCCCCCCCCCCCCCCCCCTCCCCCTCTCCGTCCTCTCCTGTCGGGCTTGTTCTCTACCCGCTTTGCGACAATATGGCTTGCGGCAGCAAAAGGTCGCCGATCTCTGCTTTAATACAACACTGAATCCACATCATACCGGCCTGCGTTCGTAGAATCACTACACTTGTTGTCAATCCTGCATTGACTGAATTTTCGCGTTTGTGAGTGAATTTAGACTACACCTAATGAGCATTCATGTAAATGCGTTCCTTGCTTGGGTGCAGCTATTCTTTTTTTGTACAAAATTTCGTCTTCAATGTTTGCTACAAGCCTGGTACGAATCATGTGCTGCTAAGTGGCACTATTTTTCATCTCGTAGATGTGTATAGAGGGTGCATGTGTGTGTTTTCATGTTAGGCCTTGGAGATTTTTTTTAAAACAAAAAGACATAAAATCTACTCTAAGGTTGCCTGTGTAAATGAGTTATACGGCCAGGGGGGCATAATATGGGGGCTAATCGTCAAGAAAAGTAAAGAAATTAACTAAATGTGTTCATCAACTTTTTATTAGTGAAGGTAAACATTTGGTTCCAATTAGAAACTTACTGAGCGACATCGAAAAACACCAAAGCAGTAAATTTTATAAATATTTGGAGCCCGTGATAAGCACGCGGTTGTGGGCTATACGGTTGCCACTCGTTCAAGAAGCGCGAAGCTGGAGGTGAGAACACGCGAATGATACGAGACAAAAAAACTGCGCGGACATCCCTTCCGCATCCTCGCGCCCGTTGCACGATGGTAGACTTTAGCGCACCACTTCGCTACCTACGCAGTCCAAATCTCTATCAAATTGACTGAACGGTGATTTAGAAGTTTACGGTGACGCGCAACACGTTTGTAATTGGAACCCAGTGTTTATTTTTACTAAGATCAAAAGCTAACGAACAATGTTTTAGTTAATTAACCTACAATTATGGTGACGATTAGCCCCGTATGGCCCCCGGCTGTATAATGTACCTGGCCGAACCGCAATCGTGTAGCTTAGACGGCCTAAAGAAAAAGAAAAGAAAATTCACAACCTTTTAGTACATTCATTGCTAAGCTGCC